CGTCTCACGGAGCTTGGCACGCGTAAGAAGACGATAGAACTCCTCCGTATACTCGTCCACGGAACGAGTGCCCTGCCGAAGATTATGGAGTTGTTGATACGTAGTGCTGACATAGTTAAACGGAAGAAACTCCCGTTTGATATGTTTCCTGAACTTGGCCCACGATGATATTTTTGGTTTACCCAACAAACGTCGTTCATCCTTAAGATGTTGCCACCACGCGACGGCCCTCCCGCGCAATCGCGTGCCGACCAGCCCCACGCGATGTTTGTCGGGCACCTCTTTGTACTCCAAAACCGACTCCACCGAGGCCAGCCAATCCAAAAATTCAGCGGCATCCAGCCCCCCCGAGAACTCCGGAATATCCACACGAAACGCACTCTCCCAACGCCTCTCCCCGCGCGGGTCGTCGTCTCCCCGTGGTCCATCTCGCGCAAACGGGTTAACCTCCTCCTCCGTAGCGTCCGAGTCGCCGCTCTCCTCCATGTACGGCGCACGTCGGTCACCACCCAATCGCGCGTGACCGCGACCTCTCCGGCCACCACGCTGCCCACCGCGACCGCCGTCCCGCTGCTCGGGCCCGTCACGGTTCGCTTGCTCACGGCGCATCAGCAATTGCAGAGCCTCGCGAATATCCGCCATGCCCGCCGCCAAGTCCGCCACATCTCGGCCCAGCGACTCGTTCTGTAGGGTTAGGGCCTCGATCGCCGCGTCTCTGCGGTCGTCGGCGGGGTCGTTCCTCTTGGGCGGCATCTCGGATCGTAGCTAGCTCTGAGTACCAACTGATGTAGCGCAACAATTAAACGAAAAGGGAACAAGATGAGAGAACTCAATCTGATAATTTTATTCGTAAAGTCTGCTTCTCTTTGAAGAAGAAAAGACAATATATAGAGACCTATCAAGCTAAATCCCTAATTTCCTAAATAAATAAAATCCCAAAGGAAATAAATTATTCATCTACTAAGTAGGAAAAAGAAATAAAGCATAATAATAAAATAAGTAGGAAAATAATAATCAAACTAAAGCTGGTAAACGATCATATTTGTCCATGAATGCCATCGCGATCTCGTCTCCATCATCCTCCCCCGGTTGAGAAGGATTCGCCCTCGAATCCGTGCCGATCTCGTCTCCATCAGCTCTTGACTTGCACAAGTTTGAAATACTTTAGAACTATAAATGAATTAAGACAAAGGAGATGAGTCTTTTCTTGAACTTCTCTCCTGCAAAGAGGAACTTATCTCGTCTCTGTTACTATTTTCCCAGGCGCAAGAGAGGAAAGAAGCTCTTAAGAAGGTTCCTGAACAGATTATTTTATCAGAGGTGCGGAAAATGGTGGAAGATATGCAGTCTTTGAATAAGAAGTTGGAAGAAACAGTAAGTGCAGCTTTTATATGTGTCTTATTGGTTTGTGGTACAATGATGTGAATAAGACTAGTGTTTCAGTTTGCGGATATTTTAAGCGAATGCCTAATTCCAAACTTCATGTAGATGTGGTTTAGTTGTTCATGCAAAATTCACACTTTTAAAGTCCAAATATTTGGCGTTTGATATATTGAATCGCTGAATGTATAGTTTGATCGTCATACTTTCGTACACTGAGCAAACAAAATATTGGTAGATAACTTACTAGATCTCCTGCTAGTCCCCAAACATGTGCCATGTGCTAATTTTCATTCTTATATTTTTTTTCTTTCTTCTGTCTATTCATTCCCTTCCATCTTCTTCTGTAAAAAGCTTGGAAAACGGAGGTCTACACTTGCACATAGACATAGTTTAAGCATTTACGGATAAGTAACTTAGACATAGTGCAGTCTAGAGAAGTTTGGTACTAAACTTCTAATTATACTTGTTCGGTTTCAAATATTATATCTTTTTCGTTCCTCTTGTTGAGTTTTGGGACATTTGAATTTTTTTATTTTTTTTTTTCATTTCTCTGAACATTAGTTTGCTGGCCCAACAGGAAGCAGCCATTGAGGAACACTTTAAGCCGATAGACAAGGAAGCTGAGATTATTATGAAAACACAGCTCGAAGGTGAGGAGAAATCTATGAGAGAGATGGTGATGGCCATGCAGAGACAAGCTCTACTCGAGCAAGCTGAAGCCGAAAGAATTGCAAATTCGCGAAATTATAATAAGACAGATCAAAGTGTTCAGCAACCAACAGGTGTGGAAAAGAAAACCGAGACGGCTTAATCACGTCGCTTCCCCAGTTCTTTTAGTGTATCACAATGAGGTTTTATAGTGGATAAATTTAAGTGTTCTCTTGAAATTTTAATGTCCGGAGAATGCAGTATCTTGAAGCATGGAGAGCTTGTCAAAATAATGACTTGTGTGGCAAGATTATGCAGTATCTTGAAGCATGGAGAGCTTGTCAAAATAATGACTTGTGTGGCAAGATTGTGCTCAAGTGGCCCGTGTTTTGTTTTTCACCAGTTTTGTTCAAGATTATTTTTGTAGGAATGTTTAAGAAAGTTGCCAATGGAAGTTCCTCAAGTGTTTTTGTAAGAACTTACAATTATTCAAGAAGTCTTTTGTGAATAAAACGAACATTAATTTATACGGACACTAATTGATGCCACACAGTTATTGATTTTTCATAACTATAACATTGTTCTTTCATCGTATTTGGTTCTAACATTCCCAAGATATAAATAAACTGGAAGGCAATTTAGAAAAAGCTGTAATAATTTTATTGTATAACAAAACTCTCATCTTCCATGTAAGACTAAGAACCTCCTAGCTTTTACACAAAACCATGAGGACCCAAACCTCATAACAAGAACACGAGAACTTCAACAGCAGGTAGACCCCATTAATTATGCAACACATCTTACTCGATGATCTAAAAAACCCCTCTTTTCTTTCAACTCGTGCCCGGTTCTTTTGGCTGGTGAAGAGTTTCCAGGCACTCTTTGGCCCTATGAACCTTCGACTGGAGATAAAAACTCCCGTTTTTTGCATTCCGTTCAAACAAGTTATCATACCTCTGCAGGAAAAAAAACATGACAAGATAGTGAATATGTACATATGTTAAAACAAAAAAATCACTACATTTTTGTTACATGACCAAAGTATAATCTTGCTTTCACAAACCAAATAACAAAACACGGGTAAATAAAATAAATCAATTGAAAAAACCTTCAAGATCTCTTCCCAAGTTGAATTCTCAGAGACGCCAAGGATTTGCCTAGCTTCTGCATCGGTCATCATTTTACTGCCTCTCTTCATGTGTTGTGCTGCTTCTTGAGCAACACCGTTCTTCGAGGCATCTGCAATTTAATTGTGTAATTAGCAGCAGGCAATAATAAAGGGAAAACGCCAACTGATTCTCAAAGCGAAGCTTAAAAATTGATACACAGGTACTCCGGCGTCCGTCTACTGGAGTTTATCTCAATGTTTCCAAAGAATATATAAGAATTAAAAAAAAAAAAAAATGCACGAAAAGATGACTTACTCACAAGTGCCTGACGATATGCTTGAACAAATGCTCTAGCCATTATTCCAGAGCCCATAACAATCAAATTAGCAATAAGCCTTGCAGCCTGCAACAAGCACGTGTCGGAAAAAATTGGTATTGCCATTTACAAGAAAACGGAAAATAAATAAAAATTCGAATATCCTTAAATTTTTCCAAACATGTCTATCATCCCAAGTCCAAGTGTACAATCGTTCATCACTTAAGAGAAATGGTACTGCTCAGCAAATAAGTCACAACCTAGATTTTAGGAAAATAAAGTACACTAAACACATAAATTGCATATCCTACAGGCCATATTCAAATTTCATGGCCAAATTAGCTAAAACAAATTCCAAGCTTCAGTAAGAATTTGCGATATCCCTAGCCCAACAAATATTGACATTCCAAATGATCCTCCATAAGCAATTTACTTAAGCAGAACTTTCTCGGGTTTCATTAATCAGCATCCAACCAGAAATGAACTACTGTTCTCCATCTACAAGTACCTATATTAGCAACTTATGAAGTTTGGCATCATAGCAGGCCCGTTAGCTCATCCTCAGACTAGGGATGCAACACTGTATTACTTTAAATTTTCCCGTGAAGGTGCCAAAAACATTGGAAGGAAGAAACTGTTTGATTTACTATTTCCAACATTTGAGTTTGTTAAAGGCATATCGGGCTTTCCTCAGTTTACATCAGTATTTCCACATTCTCTCACCAAAATCGTACTAAAAAATATGAATAGAGGTGTTCAAATGCATAAAGCTAATAAGCTAGGCATGAATCCAATTATGTGTGTAAAGATAGATATGACATAGGAGCATACCATTGCTAGAAACAGAATCGAATCACCAATTGACACTTGAAGCAAACCTACAGAAGAAAGAGCAATATATTAAAAACAAAATTCTGCTCAAGTGAAAGTTGCATAAGTTAGATTATGATCCAAGTGAAAGCTAAAGTTAACCAGTTCATCTTAAAAACTAAAGCTAAGCTGAAGACTGATAATCGAACTTGGAACTTATTTTGACAAAGCCGAACTTGAATATTAAATGCTTTGATTTCTGTCGGTAGTAAGAAACAAGACTTCAAAAATATCATTTCCCAACCTGTTAATTTTGTAATGTTACACAATTTTCAACATCCCTCCTATCTACTTGAAAATGCATGCTTCTTCAGGAAACACAACGAAAGAAACGATTTTTATTTTTAAGGGCTAACAATTATCGAATAAACATAACTAAATGAAAACCTATCAACAATATTTTCAAACCAAAAGTAATGAAAACATAACAAGATGAAACCAAGTGGACCTCGCGATCTCACGAATTTCTGTTCCAACAGGACATGAAAACCCGAAAACATTTTCCAATTCACCAACCAATTTCACATTTTTTCACATTTCCTCCTATCTTAACTAAAAAAAGTCTCCTTTATCATGAAACACAGCCCAAACAAAAAAAAAAAAATTGATTTTTAGTATCTAACAATTACCATATACACATAACTTCTCCAAACAATTCTCATTTTTTAATGGAACCCTATAAACAATATTTTCAATCCAAAAATTTAAAAAAAAAAAATAAAAATACGAAACCAACCCAGAAATATTTTGCTATTCACCAACCAATCTTCAGATTCAAATAACAAAATAACCTCAAAACTCGATCAAATACAGAACCTCAACGGCACAAAACCCATTACCTATATCTTTATATCATATTATCGATTTGATACATGACTCAAAATCTACGCACCCGAACAAGACTGAGTTTTTCAACATACATAGCTCGATTCAGAAAGTCACAAAATTACAGACCTAAAATTAATTGAAGTAAATAAACCCAATCATCCAAACAATCAACTAAAAGAGANNNAAAAAAAAAAAAAAAAAAAAAAAAAAACCCATGATGATAAATCATAAATGACTTTCTTTCCAAGAAAGAAAACGAAAAAAAAAAAGAACGATAAATTAGATAAATAAATTATGAACTGAAAAATTATTGACTTACGGAAATTTTAAAGGAATAAATGTTCTTGGAAATTGAGGGAGAAAACGGAGAAGGGTTTGCTTGATGCGTAATTTTGCCACTCATAATAAGCAACGCAATGGTCAAAAGTTCTTGAAAGTTCCAACTTGCCCTTGTGTTTCATTAGCCAAGAATAGTTTCCTATTTATTGAACCACTAGTACAACGCTCGTGTATTACACGGGTGTTTGCTAATTTTTTATTAAAATCTAAAATTAATGAGAAAAAGTAATTGAAAATTTCAATACCTTTTATAAATATATATGTATTATTATATATTTAGTATGACACTTTTTTAGTTGTGCGACTTACCTGTGTTATATTATAATATTTTTTTGACTTACAACATATGACTACATTAAACATAAATATATCACTTGAGAAATAATTTTATTTTTCTAATGAATTTTAATAAATATTATTATTTTTTATAAATATAAAAATAAATATGATTTATTTATTTCATATATACAATATGGATGTCAAATCGAAGATCATCAAAAGATAATTAATTTGATATATTATATATGTAAAACTGATAAGAAATACAAAGGTTATCAACTTTAAAATACATTTACAATTCAATAGCTAATTGAAGGAAACAAATCAAAAGTCATGGATATATTAGTCACTTAGTGTCTCACTATGTAAAATTACAAAGAATTAAAGGGTTATATTAGTAAAAGGTATATTAAAATACCTAAGTTAGCTAAATAATATTTATGAAATGTCCGAACCTAGATTATTTTTATTAATATATCAATATTATTTGTCCAAACCTAATTACGAAGCATGATTCTTTGCCAAGTAGGATTCCAAAGCACCAGAAACAACCACGTATGGTTGTGGTGGGGCGGCGTATGCGTATCTCTATGTGTTTGTATTTTTTTTACTATGTGAGACCGTATGTGTGTGTGTCTGACTGTGTAAGAAAGAGAAGGTGAGAGATAATGAGTGGTGTCTGTGTGACAAGTGGATCAACGTGATTGGACATGTGTGTGTGTTGGGTGGGGGAATATGATGGGTCGTTTATGGTGGGATTCACTGATGTGATAAAATGTTCATAATACATTTAATGAAAATAGACTTCTTTTTCAGCCATTGGATTGTTTGATCTGATGGCTAATATTTATTCTTATTTATTTCACTGAAAATCTTTCTCACCGGAACGCGTCCCTATATATATCTATGTTCTTTTAGTTTGCCCATTTGTTGGATTTTTAATTTAGTTGTAGATTAACGTATCTTTGTTTTGGGCATGGTGCACAACTAAATACAATATAAGGCAAAATAATTAATATATGCACAAAGTTTGTGTTACACAATTTGTGTATTTTGAATTACAACGGGAACCTATGAACTGACTGAAGTGTTCAGTTCGTACAAGAAGAACTAAAGCAAAAGAAAAAGCAACTCGAATGCGGACAGATTGAAAGCCGCGGCGATTGAAATCTTTCCGCAAGACAAATACGCCCCATATAGTGCTGACGGGTCTGTGCGTAATGTCCCCAAAGATACAACGGCTATACACTCGGAAGCTGTAGCACACCAGCCTTCAGAGTCCCGGCGAACAGGAATGAAGTCGAGAACAGAGCACTATGATATGATGCGTGAGGCTTTGAGAGTATTCAGATTGCATGAAAAATGTTATGTGTAATTCTCTGCAGCTCTAAGTCCTATTTATAAGACTTCCACCTCTTGAGGGAATGTAAACAGTCATATCTGCCACTTAAGGCAGATATAAAAACTGCTTAGATTTGTGCTTGTTGTAACCTCTCCAACTCTCTTTATTATAATCAAGAGAGTTAAACTCATTTAAGAGTCCAATGTGGGAGTGACTTTTGACCCTTCAAATCCCACAACCAACGTTTTACGTGCCCTTTTATGGATAACTTTAACAATTTATTTCTCACTCACCGAAAATCAGTTTTGAGAAAATAAATATACCACGAGTATCTACTCGGAATGTAGAATTTTTCTACAATATTTAATTCAACACAAATTAAATATTTAACCATAAAAAATTCAGTCAAAACCGGGTCAAACCCAAGTTTTATAACTGATTTTTCTAACATTTGTTGGGTGCATGTGCCCCAAATTTTAATTTATATCTGCTAGTGACTACAACCACTCAGTCCTTGTAGCCCGAAAGTGGTCAGTCATCAAAGGACCTTAGCTAGAGCTGCACTTCACGACCTTCTCCAGCCCAAGCATAGTCAGGTCATCCTAGTACCTTAGATCGAACTATATGTTTTCCTATTATCATGCTATATATAATACAATCCCGTGTGACCTCTTCACATCCATATTCCAAAATGAAGTTTTTGTCTACAAATTTGAATAAAACCAGCTTGCCTTGTTTGGCAAAACAATGGTATACTCGATTCGAAAGTGTCACCAAACTCCTGCAAAACATAACACAAAGTAGTGTACACATTTTCAACAAATCATAGAAAGATTAAGCAAGTAATACTATACTCTATAACTGAATTATTTCTATTGCACCAAGAGTGTAAAATCTCACACATAAGAACAAAGCTTCATGCTACACTAACATACAAAATGACATAAACTTTGATATATGATAACATATGTCATCATGATCATGCTTTTTACACATTAGATCACTTTTAAAATCAACAACCACTAAACATACACATGATGTGATCATCTTGTATGCCAAAGTAGCTTTAATATTCAAAGATTAAAAAAAAAAAAAACATCTTTTAATTCATAAATATGGATCACAATATATAATCGAGGATATTTAATTCATAAATATGCATGCATGGCCAAATGTGAGAGCGTTTGAGGAGATTATTATACTGAAATAGAGAACGACCGAGCTGACGCGAAGGTCTCTTTCTTCTTAACAACGTTTATGTTCATGAAATGTGGATCAAAATACAAATAATAAAAACTTTTGATAGGAGCGAGCGAGCAATAATTATGGAGGTGAATCTAGCATGAGAAATAAGAGCATGTCTGACTAGCCAAGGAGATTACCCGAATCAGACATCCCAAAACCGAGTTTTTTTTTATTTATTTATTTTTTTTTGTACGATGGATGGTGCCGGTAAATCATCCTTGGCTATCAAACTCTTATCAAATAATAATAAGATGCTCTTATCTTCATGCAAGAACTCAGCTCCCTTTCTCACTCAAGCAATCATTTATTGTTGCTTATGATAAGACAGACCCATTGAGCAATGGTCTAATTAATTTATAGCTGGCAAAAATCAACAGTGTTTTTGTCTTGTTTTTGCCAATCCATGCCACCTATCTCATGGTCCATCCTAGGAATATATTCTATCTATTGACTTTAGTTAATTTCTTGCCCCAATTTTTATTACTGGTTTTGTCATTCTTTCCAGCTATATATAACATATCTCGACATTTTTGCGCGAGAATTGAATATTGGCAAGAACATGTACATGTTTCAACCGGCAGGCTAAGTGCTCGTAAATATTCAGGTTTTTTTTCCCCAGTTAAGAACTTAAAAATGAGATAAAATCAGTTTTGACCGATTCAGTTATTTTGTTTCTAATCTTCTAGCTCCAAATTCAACTCAACTCAATTCTTCTCAATATTATTAGTATATTAAATAATATTAATCAATCATACTCACATATCACTGCTGCTGTTAAATTAAACGAATTTGGTTCGGCTCGGCTCGTTAAGGCTCGAGTTCGAGGCCTTAACGAGTTGAGTTCGAGCTCATTTAAAGCTTGTTTAGTTAACGAGCTGAGCTCGATTTGGCTCGTTAAAAAAATAATTTTTATATAATGTTCTAGTGTTAGGCTAGTTAAAGCTCGTGATCGGCTTGTTAAGACTCGAGCTAGAGGCCTTAACGAGCCGAGCTTCGGCTCAAATTTCTGGCTCGTTTATTTAACGGGCCGTTAAGGGCTCTAGCTGTTTGCGGCGATTTCGTCGGGGTGGCCAGTGTTGTGGAGTGGCGGTCCTAGGACCCCTTTTCCTTGGGGGGGTTTGAGGGGTTGGCCGGCGCGACCGAACCTTAGCCAGTGGTGTTGGCTAGGTTCCGGGCGGTGGTGGTGTTGGGGAAAGGGGTGAATTTGTTGTTCATATGGTTGTGGGGCGGGGTTGCCTGCCTGGAGGCTCAGAGTCTTGGGATTCGGCTTTAGTTAGGCGTTTCTCGACAATTTTTGGGGCGTATTCTCTGGTTGTGGTCCAGTCCGTCGTGGTGGTCGGCCGTGTATTCTGCCGGTGTATAGTATTTGGTGTGGTTACCTGTTATGGGCATGGGCCTTAGTTTTATTTTAATTTTTGTATGTGTTTTTGTTTGTGCTTTGTGTGCTGAGTTTGTGTTTTTGGTTTT